CACCCTGGGGCGGGCGCTGTGCGCGTGTCTTCCAGCAGGGCAGCCGGTCCTAAGGCACGAAACCGGAACGGCATTTCCTCTGCTGAGCGTTCGTGGCTGGCTCTCGTTAAATAGTATCTCTGCATCTTAAGTGGCCGCAAACGAAGCAAGCAAATAAAAGCCGCAGCTCCCCTGGTGCAGCGCCGGCAGACGTGAGCGTTTAAGAGGGCTTCTGGGTCGGTTAATCCAGCCTCCCGGGGTCGCTCCGGCCAGCAATGAGAGATGTGCAGCCCCCGCTGGAGGGCAGTGGGCTCCCGGTCTGATTTAAACGGCAGAACCTGCGACCCCTCGTCCTGAGGCATTCCGGCCCCTTCCGAACACCCGGGGCTCCGCTTCTGTAACGCCGCCGTGGCCCATGCTGCGTAGCGCTGAAGGAGGCTTACGTGTAAAACGTTTGGACGGTACCTGGCTGACCTGTTCCTGCCCTGAACCAAACTACGGTTTCAGCGTGCGGGGACATATTTAGGAAAATGGGTAACTAAAAAAAAAAAAAAGGGAATCACTCAATAGTGATTCACGTTCTAGAAGGGAAAGACCATGAAGCAGCTTTTCTTTTTAAATTTCCAAACAGCACAATTAGTACAAACTCACTGATCTTTACCTGTCGGCACTGAAGTGCCTTCCTTGCTCATTGGAGAGTCTTGTTGGTGCTTCATAATGTCTGGAATAAAGACATCAACAGTCAAGAGTTAGCCAGAGTCCTTTGCCGGAAGATCCAGCGAAGGACCAAGAGTTTCTGACGTTTTGCTGATGAATTTCTTCCAAAGTTCCAGATTCGCAATCCAGAAAAAAGGAAAGCACGGGAGGAAGGGATGAGGAATCAGCTACTGATTTCTCTTATTTCTTGTTATTCGAAAACACATCGTAACTATTAACCTGAGGTTTTCTGCTAACTGCCATCCCAGCTGCCCTGTAATATATTTTTGTATCTGAAGAAACGCACGCACGCACACACACACACACACACACACCAGGTAGTGCAACAGAAAGCCACCCATATTATCATTTACAATACCAGATGCACAGGTTTATTTATTTATGTATTTATGATGCCTGTTTACTGCTGAGTCTCATGCCTCAGGTTGATTTACAACAAATAAACACGCAGAGGCACAAGTAATGATAACTGTGAAAGAAAATATAAGATGCGGAGATAATACTGTACAGGCCTTCAAACTTTGTTTTATTCCTCCTCTGGTTTATGCTCTCCACCTGGGAGGGAGGGACATCCAGAAGACTCCTTGTTCTGCAAAGGAGCACCGCCTAACCTCCGACTGATATGCAGGAGGCCGGGGGAGAATGAACCTGGACTGGATCATTTCAGATAGACCGGAGTCCCCAGGAGATAGACTGACCAGGCTCTGTTCAACACGCCTGCATCGCCAGAGGACAGCCATTGCCTAGGCTAGGAGCGATCCTCATGTCTGACCATCTAGCTAAAAAACGTATGCGGCTCTCTGGATTACAAGTTCCTTTGACAAGCCTCTGAATTAGGGATGCAGATTTGTACACTTCAGCAAATAGCTGACTTGAGCGTCCCATGATAATTTTTACTACCGGGGCTCAATAGCTGCAAGACCTTGGCAACTAGTCTTTGACTGGCAGGACACCTGTAATGGTAAGACTGTAACCTGAGATTATCTAACAGGTTGACTGAAAATGATTCTGTGAGAAGTCATGGAAAGGAAATACACTAAAATGAGATAACAAAGCAGAGCCAAAATATATAAGCTTCAAAGAGCAGTATGCCCCAAGAGCAGCACAAAGGTAGCTATGGATGGAAACCTAAGAAGGGTGGCCCACAGCACCAGGTGTCTCATCACGCCATGTTTTTAGGGGCAGTGAGGATTCAACCAACTCCCTGAGGAGTCTAGGGAAGGGACACCTCGTGGACGCAGCGGGACAGTCCCTGCGCTCCTGTGACAATCCCTTTCCTCAGTTTTCTGAAGTGGAGAAGGTTGCCAGGAAGGTTCACGCCGCACACGGCGACAAAGACTCCATCCAGAAATGCTGGGAACCAGGGGGAAGATCACACCCACTTACTGTCTGGGACCTAAGAGAAGATTGCGCAAGTCTCAGCATAAGCGTGACTCCCATGCCCACTCTGGGCATCAGCCCACAAGGTACTATGGCTTTCTGTCATGCGCATTAATAATCCAGCTTTCATAGAATTTCCACAATGTCTTTCCTAAACCTTAAATCTAAGATTATAGAACAGAATAATGCAGACCTTTGATACTGGAATCTTTGCACTGAAACTTCCTTGACTGGTTCCACCAGCAGATTCTGAGAAGTTTCCTCACAATATCTTGGTTCCTTGATAGGTTCCACTAACAGCTTTTGAGATGCTTTTTCCCGATACCTTGGTTCCTTGATTGGTTCCATTAGCAGATTTTGAGATGCTTCTTCCTGATACCTTGGTTCCTTGATTGGTTCCATTAGCAGGTTTTGAGATGCTCCTTCCCAATACCTTGGTTCCTTGATTGGTTCCATTAGCAGGTTTTGAGATGCTCCTTCCTGATACCTTGGTTCTTTGATCGGTTCCATCAGCAGGTTTTGAGATGCTTCTTCCCAAAACCTTGGTTCCTTGTTAGGTTCCATCAGCAGGTTTTGAGATGCTTCTTCCCGATATCTTAGTTCCTTGATTGGTTCCACATGAAATTTTTGAGATGCTTCTTCCCAATATCTTGGTTCCTTGAGTGGTTCCAATAGTAACTTTTGAGATGTCTCTTCCTGATACCCTGGTTCTTTGATTGGTTCAAAGAGCAGATTCTGAGATGTTTCTTCACCATACTTTGGTTCCTTAGTTGAGTCCATCAGCAGGTTTTGAGATGCTTCTTCCCAATACTTTGCTTCTTTGAAAGGTTCCACCTGTGGTTTCTGAAATGCTTCTTCCCAATACCTTGGTTCCTTGACAGGTTCTACCTGTGGCTTTTGAGGTACTTCATCCTGATATCTTGGTTCCTTGACTGATTCCACCAGTGGCTGCTGAGATATTTCTTCCTGATAACTTGGTTCCTTTGCATAGTATACTGTGTCCTGCACATTACATTCCTTCCCATTTTCCATTTCTTGTAACTTTCTCTTTTGCTCCACCTGTAAAATTGCTTGCTGTTGTAAGCTGCTTGTTGCTAGCTCACTTAGACATTTATCTTTTCCCTGATTCTCAGGTTTGCTTTCCTCTTCCCATTTTCTTTCAGAACTAAGATAATCAGTCCTGTTACTTCCATTTCTTTCCCACAAAGAAGTTGGGGGCTCTTGTACACTTCCAGACATAGCAGGGGATGTCAGGATAGTCTGTTCCTAGAAGAGAATGCAAGTTTTGTACAAGTTAAACACAGAGTATAAAGTTAGTTAAATATGCTTTGCTATGAATTGAGATATACATGATGGGTCTTTCATTGGAAAGATATTCCAGGTAGTAACAGAGATTTGGATCACTGCGCTAAAGAAATCAAGGAAAAGATATTCCACCTGTCTTCGGAATTGGCTTTATGTCAAGTCAGGCCATCCAAACATCCAGCTGATTGTCTACAACAACTAGCAAGAGCACTATACACAGGAATTTTCCACAATACACAAAATAGATTATTATTATTATTTTTTCTTTTTGAATACAAATATCAGGGACTGAACCTGGCAACCTTGCATAAGGTGCGTCCTATATGCCAAAGCAGTGATCCCTCCATAACATTAATTCTTTGTGTGACTCGTTCAGAAGACCATCATAGGCAACTGCTACATCTTGGAGTCTTTGGGGAGATTTACATATGAATGTTCACACTTGGCAAGCATCAAGTGGCATAGCATAGATGTAAAAGAACAGACCCAGACACTATGCGGTGGATACAAATTTTATACTATTTCAGGTACATTTCTGAATGTTCAGCAGCAATACCAAATATATTAATTTGACAAACCAAGCTATATTTACGCATTAGAGAACTAAGTCAGGTATAACGCTAGAATGAAAGAGGCCCTGGATTAATCCCCATGGAGCCCAATGACTTCATGAGCAGTCAGTGTAATTCAGCCTTTCCCCTCTAATGTTTTCCAGATATTTGGGGATGAAATTCCTGAAATTTCCAGGCAATGCAAAAATATGCTGGTTCAGAAATCTGGGATTTTAGACTTAACAGATAGGAAAGGCTGACTAATATATCTCAAGGAAGATTACAGATATAAAATGAGGGGAAGTACTGTTTGGAGAGAGAGTTGGAGAGAGATGGAATTATTGTTAACTTAATTATTGAGGCATGGCCCATATTTACAATGTTTTTTAAGAATCACTTGTAGAATATGCTACATTTTAAATCCTTCTCATCATACCTATGTTAAAATCATAAATTATTTTTGTTGCACCTTATTCACTGTTACCTGCTGGATAAAAAACAAAGTTGCTATGCATGCTATCTCGGGGTATGATTGAAGTCCTTTTGAATCTTTATCTAGCTATTCCTGAGGGTCTGACTGAAGCCTTGGCTGTCTCTTGGAATGAGAGGGCAAGTGTGGCTTTGGATCGGATCGCACCCATGGGACCTTTCCTCTCTCATGGATCCCGTCACCCCCTGTGGTTCACGGAGGAGCCGAGGGAGATGAAACAGGAGAAGACATGTCTAGAGCACCTCTGGAGGTCGACGAAGGACGAATTTGATCAAACACAGTGAGAGCCGCTATTAAGGCCTTCCTTGTGGCGGTAAGAGTGGCGAAGCAACAACACTTCTCCGTTATTATTGCGCCCACGGATAGCCATCTGGCAGCTTTGTTTAAGATGACATGAGCTCTCCTGGGGAAGGAGGACTTGGAGGTGCACCTACAACACTGGGCAGAGGAATTTGCAGAGCATCTGTTGGACAACATCACTCAAATTCATTCCAAGTTGGACGCCAGCTTTGATACAGGTCTGAGGGAGATGACTGAGGTACAGTCTTGCCTGGTTACCTGGGAATGAATTGAACTGTTTGAGCCTGAGGAAGTGGACAGGGTCTTTAGGACTGTGAGCTCAGCCACCTGATCTTAGATCCATGCCCCTCCTGGCTAGTTAAGGCTGCTAGAGGGTGTTGTGTGGTTGGATCCTAGCAGTGGTTAATTCTTCCTTGAGGGAGGGGGTTGTTCTGCCACCCCTTGAGGAGGTATTGGTTTGCCCCCTCCTCAAGAAACCATCGCTGGATCCCACCATACTTTTCATGAGATGGGCGGCTATACAAATCTGGTAAATAAATAAATGACCACAAGCTATATAGATACCACCAAATACAGCCCTTAATTTTGCATAGCTGAAATGTGAATGCTTTGGACAATGAAGTACTTGTACCTTGGTTAGATTAATTTTATTTTAGGCTAGCTGGTTGATGGCAGAAAAAACCAAAGAATCCTGTACCTTTCAAAACTGAATTTGCCCAAATAAAGTTGAAATGAATAAAGTTGCGCATCTAAAAAAACAGTACTTCCTTCAGCTACTATGGTATCTTCTACGCAGATCGGCCTTCCTGGGACTCTGCTGTTCTGCCAACCCATTTTAACTGCATTTTTAATCTACAACGCTTGTGAAGCTACACCAAGAGAGCAGTCCAGCCAAGGACTTCAGAAGGTCCCTTGCATTGTTTGGCGACAATTTCTGTTTGCATCATTTTTTTGTGCTGCTTTGTAATGTATGCATGTAGAGATGATACGCCATTGCTAGACACACGAGTTCTCTTGATTGTCATTCCCAACACTACGGTGTCTGACGACAGTTCCTAGACTTTGGTAGCTCATTTGTGATTTTTACTGACATCTCAGGAAAGGCAAAGAGTTTTCTTGCTGGATTTGTGCTACAAGTCTGGGTATGTGATTTACATGGCAACAGTACCAAAACACTTTGCCTTTTTTGAGGTTTATGCTTCGTCTATATTCAGACTTTTCGCAGCGAAGCAACAGGGCTGCCTGCCTTCCTGTTTCCCAGAAGTATCGTTTCGGAAATTGCCTTGACGAGCTCAAGAGCGAATCCTGCCTCTCTGCAAGAGAGGCCGAACCGCAACAAGGCTCAGCACTGACCTCATCTGAGGAGTGGGAGATCTCCTTTTCAGCCTCCCGCTGCGCTTTCAGCCACTCTTCCTTCAGCCGCTCTTGCTCACGCCTGTACTGCTCCTGCGAGGAAAAAGCAATCAGCCGAAAGCCCACGCCAAGAGGAGCCGCAGGGAGGCAGGAGACATTCCCTCCCTAGCCCCCCCCCAGCGATCCCCCTCGGGCAAGCGACACCATGCAAAGGGCAGAGGGGGACTAAGAAGCAGGCGGCCAACGGAATTAAGCCCACTGGGGTGAGAGGGCGGTCGCCGCTTCCAGCCGCTTTTGTCTCGCTGCCTCGTGCCTCACACGCCCCCTTTCCAGAGGGGAGCAGCAGTGGCCTTCCTCCAATCATCTGGCACAGACAAACGCTTCACACGCACGCTAAACAAGCGGCACAACCGCCCCAGAAGCCAACCAGATCCATGTTGTAACATTTTTCCAGTTAGACCTGCAGCCTCACCACTGTACGACGCCTTTCTTTCATCATTTCTGTAGCATTCCCCCCCCCCATTTTCTTTTATATAGATTCTTCTCTTCCATTTCATCGTTCTGCCAAGCATCTTGTTCCATACATCTGACAGAGTAACTCCCCCACTTTTAAAGGCAGTTCCGTTTGCTCTGCTCCACCTTCCGCCTTTTTGATCCTAGGGAGACCCGGAGGCATCACAGCTAAATGGCCCGTTGGGTGTCCCAGGCTTTCGAATGTCAGGATAAATTCAGCGTTTTGGAATCACTCCCAGCTTGGTCCTCTCTAAACTTTTATCTTAATCCAAAGTTTATGGAAGGGGTTCTGTCACCTCAGAGGTGAGAGAAGATACAGAAGGCCAGAAACATTTTTATATGGTACAGTGCTGATTAATCAATGCAATATTGCCAAGTTCTTGAGGTGTTATCCAGCGCTAGCTTTACTAGCTTTTCTCCCACACCTTTTAGCAACTTGTAAGACCTAGAATATGTAGTAAAAATGCTATCAGAGGGCCTACGTTTTGCCCTTGAAGCTCCTCCCTCTAGACTGATATCGAGACCCAAGAGACCCAGCCACTAAACAACTCCCATCTTTATTTGGGCAAAGATCCATCCAACGCCGCTGGACGTGCAGCTAAATGCATCGATCCAGAATTACCCTTCAAGCTGGCTACCTGGATATAGTATTTTGGGGGAGGGTCTCTATCCTTAACCGCTTTACACAGAAAATGGCGCACTGACAGAGGCTAAGCAGCCAAATGTGCTTTAGGGAAGAGGTTCTGCTCCCAGAGCCCAGAGAGAGCCCTGGCAGGGACGGTTATCTGCGCAGCTGCATCCAGACCTGGAGTAAGCGCTCCTGCTCTGCCTGCCACTTCTCTTGCCTTTTCCTTTCTTCTTCTTGATCCCAAGTCCGGCGGCCTGGAGCCGCAATGGGTGGAACGGGGAGCTGCAAGACGGAAGCAAAGGGTTAGCCGGTGCAGATGGCTCTCCTCAGGCCGCCTCGAGAAGGATCAATGCAGAGCTGGCACTCGGTTTCTGACGGGGGGAGGGGTGCATGGTCAATGCTGCGCAGGGCAAAGGGGGCCATACAGCTTCCCCTTCTTCACTGGGTTGACCCAAATAGCCCTAGAAGCCTATCCATCTAATTCAATCAACCTGGAATCCAATCTAACCCACTGGCCGGGAGTGGAGAGAGGAGGAGAAAACTTTGGAGAACAAATTGTCAATGAGGTCAAAGGGTTTAGCCCCATTCCTCACAGTCTACCTTGAAAATAAAAGAAGAGACGTAATTGAACATGAAGACACTATTCCACGCAATTAGTTATTAGCAAGGACAGCACTGTTTTTTTAAAAAAAACAAAAAACAAAAAAACTTAAATCAGCAATTTTCCACTAAATTCTGAATAGCCCAAAATATGTGATATTGGCTTTATAAGCAAATTAATAGCATTTTGCAGGTAGAAATATTAATGTCTGGGAAATAACATTAAAAAAAAAGAGTCATTCCCCTGATTTGTTCCTTCTTTTTCCTTAGGCCTTCAGAATCGAATATCAGCCTGACTGAGGAAAAAATGACTATTGTTTTCCACTTTAAAATGCATACTATGATAACATGCGGTTGGGGTTTAACTATGTTTCTCTCTTATAATGTACTATTATATACATTACTTGATCATATATTAATGTTTATTTCTGGGTGTATATTGCTGTTGCCTTCTATGCTGTATAATTACTCTTTCTTAAGAGTCCATCAGGGTTGGGTGGCCAATACATTTAAAATAACAACAACAACATCTGCCTATCCCAGGTCCCTGGGAAGGACTCAATAGATAGGTAGTTAAAAATGCCAAATCCAGTCTGAACATCTGGCTGACTGTGCGACCAACCACCACCACCACCACCACCATCATCATCATCATCATCACCACAGAGCATTACTTACATCAAGTATTGCAGGTTCTGGGCCTCCTGGGTGGTTCATAAGAATTTAAAAAAAAAAAAAAGAGGGTAGAAAAGTCTTGGTTACTGTTATCTGGAAAAGACCATTTCAACCCAAACTAGAAGGCTGTACTGGGATCCATCCCCTTTTTCAGGTCAGGGACTCACCTAACACCTTCACATGAGCAAATATCTCTTATAGTCATACGAAGGAAAATTGTTACATTGGCTTCATATTTACACCATGAATTCCACATTTTTCTAATCAAGCCTGATAGTTGCTATACAGAGACAACAGTAAAGTATTGATGGTACCCTCATGGGTTATTATGCCAGTATACCAAAAATAAAGTCTGAGAAGACAATCTAAGACAAGAACATTTCCAAGAGCGCTAGAATACTGTTTCATCAGGGAATCCACATTCCTGTATCTTTTCCAACTATCCCTTCTTCCTAAAATAATTCCCCAATCACCAACCAATAAAAAATGTATGATCTTAAAAAACAAACATGTCAGGAAGGCCATGCCAACCTTTGCTGGCTGATGGGGCGACATCTAGAATTTTGAGAAATTTTGAGAAAAGTGACCTGAGCACACTTATTTATAAAATTACTGTTGCAATGGCCACAATCATTGAGGCAAAGGTCAAAGGTTAACAGATAAGTAGCTTATCCAAAAACGTTAATACAAGACAGAAATGGAATCCAGCCTTCCAACTCGCTCTTCCGAACAGAGTTTCGGAATTGTCTCATGCAACGATCTCAGCACCGAAGATCCACAAACCCCGTAGTTCCAGCACTCAAGAGCTGCTCATTTTATAATCCATTTTCTTTTACTTTTTCAGTATGGGTAGAAAAGGACACACGCGTCCCACTCCTTCCCTGGGATCCAGCGCCTCACAAGCTCCTTGTTCCACCGCACTCCATCGCGCTCCCTGCACGGACCCAGCCTCCCTCTTTGCACCCTCCGGTAGCATCATGGCTCACCTGCCCACCTCCTCCCTCCGCTATCCTGGGCCATCCCCTCGCTGTCCCCAGGTGACAATTTTCACCTTGCTGGACCCTTCCTGCCCATCCCAGACATTTCGATGCGTCACATCACCCACCACCCATCTTTACTCTGCCACAAATGCCTCCTGACTGACTTGCTAAGTACTGTAGTGTTTAAATCACATTTTATCTTTTATGGGATCCTGCTGATTAGATTGAGTCACCTGATTCAAATCCACCCTTCAGCATAAGGCTTCCAAGACAGTACATCCAAAACAACAACGAAAGACCAAATATAAAATCAGCCAATCTTCCTGCATTAGCTTTACGCATGGACAAATTCCCAGACTTTCAGAGAGTTACAATGAATGAATAATTGCCATGGGATTTGGGGCCACAGTGACAGAACATTAACTATTTCGCACAGTTAAAGCAAGGGGAGCGAGGATATCTGTGCACTTTCCCCCAAATGTGTTAGTTGGGCAGTATTTTCTCTACTGGGGTGGGGGGTGAGAAATTAATTCTCCAGACATAAAGAGTTTTGCCCCTTGGAGTGTGGGGCAAAGAGCAAAGCTGAGCTTTGATGCGACATGTTCAGCTGGCGCAGAAAAACCAAACAAAAACCAGAGGCCCGAACAACGCGCACCTCTTGCGCAAAAACATGATACTGCGAAAGGGGCTGTCCAAAGGAGAACAAGGAAATCAAGCGGCAGTTTCCCAGCCGCTTCTTTGCTTTCCTTTCCCAGTCTTTTTCTGATAAAGTCACATTCTGCCTTTGGGGAAGTCTGGCCTGCATGACCAGCTCGGACATAAAAGAGCACTTGGGAGAGACACCGAGAGCAGGATGTCATCAGGACCAAGAGAGGCCTCTTGTCTTTTCTGCGGAAACATTATTCTGAAGAAAATGAGACAATGGGAAAATAACACCGGGAAAAGAGACTTGGGTAATACATAACAGGGCAGTAAATGAGAAATGTTGTCTTTATCACTTCAAAACATTCCACGTATAACAAACGCAAGACTCTGAAGTGAGGGTGAAAACGGTGACACATAGCATGCAACACACACTCCCAGCAGCTTTCAAGAACCGTGACGTATGATTCCTAGCCCAAACGCTTCCTTTAGTTCTTGGAGGATTAAAATTGGCTCCTGGTGATAAGGCATGTATTCCTTAACCATCTATTCCACACAGATGCACCAACTGTAATAATAAATACGACTTTAAAATTTATCATCTCTTTCGGCCTGGTCATTTTACGTAATGCAAGTTTGCCGTATTTCAGCACATTGGAGGAAAGCTGCAGATCGAATGAGAAACTCCTGTACTACATTTGGTGCTCGCTACGAACAGGATTTGAGCTTGTCAAGAGTGTGAAAGGTTTGAGGGACAAAGGAACACACAAATCCCATTACCACAAAGGTACACCCATGAATTGTAAAGGGAACCTGGTGCTCCTAAGGAAAGAACGGAGAGAGATTAAGAAAGTTGGCACGATAGAACCCAACACCGCGGACTGATTAAAAGAAGGCACAGGGGGGAACGATTTCATGAAATTACATGAAATGTTAGCTTTGGGGAGTATTGATTGCTTTTACCTTGTTCAAAAAACTGGGACCTCCTTTTTAAGTTTTTCAAAGAAATAGGTTCTGTGTCTATTTGAAAAAAAAATACGGAGATACAAAACAGGTCAGTGTGGTGTGGTCTAATTTTATTGAACAGAGATCCACCGGACAAACGTTCAAGGCACTGACTCGGCTGCATTCAAGCAAATGGGTCATCGCTTTGGGAATGATCTCCCAGAGCCTAAATCAAGGCTGGCGCACTGCTCTGGTTAATACTCCACTCCTCACTAATCCAGCCCTGTTCAAGCACCCAGATCAGAACCAAACCAGCGGGTCCTGCAGCCAGGAAGGGCCAAGGGCCAGTCCTGCCCTACCCACGAGCCTGACCCATCGTCACCTCTCAGCCTAAACCACGTGACGTGGAGTGGTAACTCTACAGCATCGTCTTGAACTCCTTGGAGAAATGGCGTGTCTTCTCAAGCAGCCCCTTTCTACATTTTGTCCTTTGGGAAGGAGCTCACCCCAGTTTAGAGCGAGGAGGAGCTAAGCTTTAAGAGCAACCCACACGACGGGCCCCTTAAAAGGCCGGCGTAGCCCCTCCCAGGTGGCTGCTGGCCGTACCGCAAGCTGGGCTGGGAAGGAACAGACAAGCCCTCCTGTTGCTCGCGCTCTTACCATCGGCACGCCGTCCTAGCTGACAGTGCAGGCCAGCATTGGGTTACAGGTTGCCCTTTCCCCCCCTTCGCTTTCCCATAAAAAGGCTAAAGCTAAAAAAAAATTTAAAAAAAGGAGGCCCAAGCCTCGTAAGGCGCACAGACCGATATGCTGGGCCAGGATCAAGGCTTTTGTTAAGCTCGACCATTCTTTTGGAAGAGGCTGTTAACCCATCCTCCCCAGCACGCACAAATGGAGTCGGGAGGGAGAGGATTCAGAGCTGGCGAAAATCTCCACTGGTCGTATTACCTTTGTGCATCTCTGCCTTACGCTTCTTCTGACCCAGCTACTACAGAACATAAACCCACTGTGTTTTTATTAGCACCCAATAAAACATGGTTTATCTTTACGAATTATATAATTGTCCCTTCCTGCAGCTAAGCTCATAAAAATTAAGATCTCTTACTTCAATTATAACCAGGTATACAACGCTGTTTTACCTTTTTGTTCACAGTAGCTTGGATCGTCTTGCGTTCCATTGACTTTTGTTTCAGAGCCCTGGAAACAGAGAATTGGCATACCACGGCTTTAATTTAGCCTTTTCTTTAACCTCCGGAAGATACCATCTGACTTGGGCCCTTCTGAGGAACCGAACAACTAGCTGAAAGCTGATGCCCAGAAAAGCTGCATTTTAATTTTTATGCGCATTTCAGAAGTCATATGGAATGAACGTATTCTCCTGAATTTCTTCATAGGAAGGAAAAGCTATTTTATGTTGTCAGACTCAGGAGAAAACTTCATCGTATCTCTCTCTTGCCCAAGGTAACACAAAACGCGGCAAATACTACTTCAATAGCCAGAGATTTGTTGGAATGAATGAATTCACTGAGCAAAAAGTTAGAGTCAAGACAGGGACTGCTCAGCAAAGCCAAGAGAAGCAAAGCTAATTCTCTTCTCTTGGCTGGCAACCAACAGTTCAGAAAAATCCCTGATCCTTGTTATGGATCAGAACCTTACAGGGAGCATCAGGGCTTTCCTTTTAAAGGGAATATACGCTTTCTGAGGATTGAATTAGGGCAAGAAACAAGCTTCTTGGAGGCCTAGGAATGCTGTGCCACTTGCTGTGAGAGCAACCGAGGCCGCTGCCTTGCCTTTGCGCGAATGGGACGGGGGAGCGGGCAGCAGTGGGCGGCCCCCTTTATGGGCTGTTAGCCGCTCTTGGACCAAACACGGAGCCACCGTCTGACGGGGCCGCCCACGCTCTGAGGCTGAAGTCCTAGCTGCTTTGCCCTTACATCGGGGACGTTCTCCTCTGGCCTCACTGATTAACTGGGCAGCTGGAGTTGACTTCTGCGCATAGGGAAGAGCAGAACGTGGAGAAAATTCTTGTGGGCCCAGTTTAAGGAAAATGCTTGTGTGTGTGTGTGTGTGTGTGCACACACGCGTGCGCACGTGCCTTTGAGTCAGCCTTGACTCCTGGCATCTGCCTGGAGTAGTCCCTGCCATTTTCTTGGCAAGATGTTCAGAGGCGGTTTGCCCTGGCCGCCTTCTTCTTCTTCTTCTTCCCAGGGCTGAGAGAGCGGGACCAGCCCAAGGTCACCCAGCTGGCTTCATGCCTAAGGCGGGACTAGAACTCACCATCTCCCAGTTCCTAGCTCAATGCTTTTAACCACTACCCCACACTGTATCTCAAATACTGAATGCATGCCCTTAAACGGCATCCTGTCTGTCTTTACCTCAGAGTTTAGCCCTGTAAGCCTCTAAACTCTAGTCTAGCAGATGAATCCATTATATTAATACCATGTGTTGTAGTCACTTAAGAACAACAACAGAAGATACTCCCTGTCTCTAGGTCACTACAATATCTATACAGAAGGAGACGGTATCTGCCCCCTCCCCCCTCCCAGATTTTAGGGTCAAAGGACAGTGTTACATCTTGCAACTGCCCATGGCTGAAGTTCTAGAGTTCTTCTAGAGGCACATATCCATACTTACATCATTCTGGAAATGGCTGTGCAACTCTTTTTCTGACATTTGTTGACTTTGTGTTGAAGTGTGATCTCCCGATGTCGCATCAATCCATTTGTTTTCTGGTGTACCTATAATGTTGGTAGCCATACTTGTAAGATTGAGGATTTTGTGCCTTGCAAATGGCAGGAAAGGCTGGTCTTTGCCCCAATCTGATTGGTACGTGGAGATCAAAAGAAATTAAAAAAGTAGACAGAGGGATGTCAAAGTGTAAAGAGAATTGACAAAAATACATCCAAATAACACACAAAAAGGAAAAAAGAACAGAGGACAGGAGAAGGAAGGAGTGATTTGGAATGTTAATGTGGGACAACCTATTAGGGCTCTTACGAAAGACCGCCTTTTCCCCAAAGCAAGAATTAGTCAAAAGCGTGCACAATAAACAGCAAGTTTACTAACAGCAACTTTATTTTACAACTTAAATAATTTCAAAAGGCTGGGAAGCGGAGTTGATCCTAGTGACTTCGCACAGATCATCGTCTAGAGAATGGGGCCATACAAGAAACAAAGTACATTGAGATCAACTCTTTCCAAGGGGTGGTGACCCAGGAACATCCCTACTCCAGATGATGGCCTCCTAATTTCTAGAAAGTAAACTTGCTCAAGCAGGTATTTACAGTGTAATACATGCAACAGTGACCAAATAATAAGCGTAAAATATTTCTTGCAACAAAAGCTGTTTTCACAAAAGTAGGAATACTAACCAAAGATACTTGAATGGAAAAAAAACATCAGCTCTTGCTGGAGGCTGTAAGTATTCAGAAACCATCCACCATAATAAAACTTACAGACAGCTCACATTGTACTCAATGCAAGTAAAAACGCACCCTTCCTTCCATGCCGCCTCACGTCCATGACGAGGTGCCCACTTTCCAGGGCCCGGCTGATGGCACCTTCCCACTCGCCCTGGTCCAGGTGTGAAATGCTGGTGCCCCCCAGGGAGAGGATTTCATCCCCAACTTCCAACTGACAAAAGTCTGCAGGGCTGCCTGTTGAAAGAAAGGCAGAAAGCAACACCACGGGGATGAAACTTTTGCTCCAATGAAGCAACATACAACCTCTATATAATCGAGAGTCAGACTCTGCAAAGCATTCAAAAGAGGTGCTTCTCAGAGCATGTGAGTGCAAGCAAAGCCTCTCCCTGAAGGCCTTAAGGCAGCTGCGCGCTTTCAGAGATTTGGGGGTGCATGGAAGCGCTGTCCCTGGTGGACGCTTTTCCGAGCAGGTGCGGGAAGAAGGTGGGGCCGAAGTAATGCTCTGAGGGGAGGTGCTGGTCTCAAGTGAAGACCCTTCTGAATGCTTGGCACCATCCTAACAACCGTCATTAAGTTTTAAAAGGAAGTAGTAATTCTGAGTTAAAATTAAAAATCACAATTTTAAATGTCAATAATTCAGATGCCCAATCAAATAAGCTTTTAACTTGGAGCTGAAAGGAATAAAAGAATGGTGCCAGGAAAGTTTGTATAACACCAAGAGAAGGCCCTTTTTTATGAAGGAGAAGAAGGCCTTTTTGGGCAAGACCAATTTGTCCATCCTGAAGTTGGATGGGGGCACTTCAGGGCTGGAAAGTTACCCCAGAATGTCTTACATAACCCCCAATGTCCATAGTAAAGGTAGGTTGATACGAGACAGGATGGTCCTTCAGCCGAATGCTGATATCAAACTGTTTGGGGCTTTAGAAAGAACCACCAGGACCTTAAAGCAAGTCAATTTTGAATTAAACTTTGGCATGTCCACATTTTTTTTTCACATTCTTGCAAGCTGAATTCTTGAGATCATCCATCTTTCTTTCTTTCTTTCTTTCTTTCTTTCTTTCTTTCTTTCTTTCTTTCTTTCTTTCTTTCTTTCTTTCTTTCTT